CATGTGGGGTACATGACCCAGACAACGCAGGCTTGCCTGCCAGAGGAACTCACCAATGGTACTGTGTCCAGATCGTTACTGTGTCCAGTGTCGGATTAAACGATCAATGGAGATAACGAAGCGTGGTTTGAAGACTTTGCTTTCACATTTCTTGTTGCTCTCAATATTTTGCATGTCTGTTTTTATATCCATATTCGTTCCTTGCTAGGTTAAAGATATCAACACTCCCATAGTCTGAAACATTAGGTGCTTTTCCATTTTGGTATCTTTGCTGTACTAATGTCAAATGCAATTGATCTACTTTTTCTGCACTAAATGGCTAAGTAAAGGAAATATATTCCTTCAAAGAACACTTCCCAATATTTTTTAAGTTTCAACTATAAGTTGAACCCAATTTTTAATGAAAGTCCAGTCATAAGCTAAAATAATTGATCATAAAACTGGCATTGCTTTAAAATGTTAGTTAAAACTTACATTATAATTACTGTATAGCATTAAGCTTCGTTGAAAAAAGAATTCTGTCAGATAATTTTTCATCAGAAAAGTCGAGGCCTAGTTAATCTCGCATATGGTGGAGTACAATTTAGGCCTTGTTAGTGGCACGCGTGGTCGAGACTTCGCATTGGGCACAGATGATGGCGTACACGTCTAGTGACACATGACACAGTCGTCTTCAACAGTAGCAGCCTTTAGTTCTGAAGGCACGAGACACGGTCTTCTAGAATTCCCGTTTCTCCAAGCGTCCCGAGCTCTCTTTTTCCCCCTTATCTATCCCTCAAGCCCCTTTCTCGAAGGTTCCTTGACCCACTTTCCCTAACCGATCCTAACCGACCTCTGTCAATCATCCGTTCCCCCCTCTTTCCATTTGTATTCTCCACTCCATAAAATTTCCCTCCCTTTAACCAATCCGCTTTCAGGCCCGTTAAGTACCAATGAGAGGGCTTGTTTTACTTGCTGATTTTCCGTGTCACGCGGGGTCCACCAGTCAAGATGAGTATCATCAGTAGTGACATCATCTCTAGAAGTGGGCGGGCCTGCACTCCGGCCTTGTCAGTGGCGCACATAGTCAGGCCTGGGTTCGGGCCCAGTGGGTCACGCACATGGAAGAGCCTGAGCTGGGCCCTGTAATGCATGGTCTTATCACTGTTGGTTATGTTTGAATGCGTAGGTAAGACAACATTTGCTAATGCAAATTATAATTCATGTAAGCAATGGTAATAGTGTGTAAAGCTAAATGTCTAACCTCAGCGTCCCACAAAGTACAGTGGATTAAAGCAACTCGAAGTCAAATGTCCTGGGTTATAATTGACATTTAATAATTCGTGGCGAGTAGGGGCAGTCCTCGACACAACCCGTTCGTAAGTTGGAACAATATTGTACTGTATTTAAATGCCCATATGGTCAGTGTTATTGAATGTGTTATATAAAAAAATTACTGTGTCGTAAATAAAACAAATAGAAAACAATTATTTTCATTACCTTGAGTCCTAATGCTGGCTTGTCGGAAGCGGGGCAGAGTCACCACAATTGCACGCAACAAATATCCCCCGTGTAGCCTCAGCAGACTGTTGGGGCAAGTGCTGTTAGCGAGTAAGACCTATGAAGGCTGACACCGCACACAAGGGCGTGGTTGGCCGTCCGCCTTTGTCTCCCCAGTGATGTGTATTCACCACACCAGGTACTCATTTGAGGCTAAGTCGACCTAGGGGAGGTCCATGAGCGGTTCAGATAATTATCGTCACTGGTGGTGGCCGTGAGTAGGAATTGAACTCGGGTTGCCGGGTTCATAGCGCAGCGCGCGAACCGCTACGCAGTCACGAAAACTTCAAATCTAGAACCAAGCATGGAACATGAGGTGATTGGCCAGCATCACACCCCGCACCAGGTATGTACTCATTGAAAGCAGTCACACGCACAGTGACTCTACCACTCGCTAACTTGCTGTGAGCATGGAAAGGGGAGTTCTATATTGCGATTCAACTATTTATATAAGAAGGTTCAATTGCACAATAACAAAAAGTGAGGTCCGTATAACTCAGCATTAAAAAAGACCAGTGCATGAGAACACTCAAATGCAACTAACTACCTGTTCATATGAAATTTATTTCGACAATCTTGGCAGCTCCCTTGCTCACTGTTTTGGTCTCCAAAGACCGAACTCCATTCACTGCAGCGAACACCAAAGCCAACAATACCAAGCACGAATTCAGCTGCTGCTCCTCTCCCAAGCAGCCTTGCCCGTGTCTCTCCACAGTCTCAACGTCATCGTTTCTTCTTTGCCTGCTCATTCCCTCCTTTTGGGTGCCAGGGTGGCGTAATGTCAACTATCTCGCATGGTTTACAGGAGGTCGTGAGTTCGATCCCGACCTGACGCCTATTGTATATTTGGAAGTTTGCGTGTTCTCCCCGTGGTCGCGTGGAATTTTCTCCGGGTCCTCCGGTTTTTCCCTCCACATTTAGAATCATTGCGTTTAGAGTGTTTGGCTGCTGCTCTACATTTCCAACATGATAGGCCACTTCGTCGAGATATCATTTGTGGCCATGTCGCTTTTGAAAAAGAGCTCCATTGCTCAGTGGGTCTTACCTGGTAAAATGCTTATTATTTTATTTTAGTTTATATCCCTCTACAGGTCCAATCACTTTATGCTCATGGTTTTTTTTTTATTGTATTGGAGAAACAAATGCATAAAAAATTGATAGCGGATAAAACGTAAATAATAAATCAGATTTGCCGATTTATCGTAGCGTTCAAAATCAACGTAAAAACACGGAAAAAAACTGAACACAGCAACCCAGGTGCAACAGCGAATGTATGGCAACCAGACGCAGCACTCATTTAATTTTTTCATCTCGTTGCCACAAAGGAGTTATTTCCCTTGGTGTCTAATATATATAAATTGCAGCATGGAACAATCTTGCAATGCTCAAAGGGTTATGTTCCATATGGGGCCCATTAGAAGCATTTAAAGCTCTTGAAGGCCAACGGATTGCTTCTATATTCGACTCAATACAATTAAAATGACGATAATATCCTCAACTGCATTTTTTTCACTGGCTAATTATAACAAAGATAATTAAGTCTCGACGTTATACTTGCTCAACTAAAAGTTCTGCAGCTCACTTTTCCATTATTTAAGGTTCGGTTCTGTTTAAAATTCTCACATTTATCATTGCTCCTTTCGTATGTTTTGGCAGCGGTGTTTTAAGGCTGGCTGCTGACGGGCGAGAGGAAGCGAAAGATGGCAAGAAAAGGAAGAGATCAAGGGGTTGACTCAGCTCAGCATGGGAACATTAGATCACGACAGTTTGCGCCGATAGGAAACGCTGGTGTACATTGACCATTGAAACGTGCGTTTAGAGTATTTAGCTATCATAAATGTACACGTGATAATCCACTTATGTCTAGATTGAAAACTCATTTCTTTAGAACTGCTCTTTGCGCCGCGGTGGCCAGATGTTAACTATCTTGCCTGGTATACAGGAGGTCGTGGGTTCAATCCTGATCTTGACGCCTGCTGTATAATTGGTGTTTCCATGTTTTTCCCATGGTCGCGTGGATTTTTCTCCGGGTCCTCCGGTTTTTCTCTCCACATTTAGAATCAACATCACGCATTCAGAGTATTTGCCTGCTATACATGTCCACGTGACAAGCCACTTTGTTGAGATATCATATGTTGCCAGGTTGCTTCTGAAAAAGAGTGATGCGGCTCAGTGGGCCTTACCTGGTAAAATAAAAAAAGTGTTTTAGATTTTAATCGACCTCGCGTGTTTATAGCTTGTTCACTGTCTGCTTTGGGCTTCAGCCTAGTTTACTTCACACCATGTGGCACGCACAGCGCAACGTGCCAGGGCACTCGCATTGCCCAGGGGCATCGAGCCGTCTACCGGCTGAGGACAAGCCTAGATGGCGTATCGTTAACGTTCAAGTGTCCACGACGTTTTGCGTTGAGGTATATAAAACTTCAAGATTTTTACAGCTTCATTTATTGATGCGTTTTATCGTATTCTATGTTTTGTATCATGTTATCTATTTGTATTGTACAATTTAAGTAGGTTTATAGATGTTATTTGCGACTGTATGTTGAACTTCTTTTGCACCGTATGTAGCCAACCGTGCTAATCAGCGATGCGGGGGAATGGCAAACTAAACACGAAAAGCAGTTCTGAAGAAACTAGTTTTCAATCTCGACGATTTTTAAAGTGCATAGACACACCAGTAATGTGGATTTACTCTTCAACACACCGGTGGGCTGAAGTAGTAACTAATTGGCGCGTTGTTTACGTGACAAACCTTATTGGCTGTGTCGGGTGGTGGAGGGTTACAACACATTTTTTATTTTATTTATATTTTTATTATTTTATTATTTCCCTTCTACGTGACTTTACCGAAAGAACCAAGAAGATTAATCCCTGCAGTCACGAAAGCTTTAAATCGAAATTTAACACATGTATACTTAACGCCATCTAACCCAAAAACCTTTATTGAGAATTTTTTTTTTATGTATCTATAAACATCCATTAGGCTTGGGGGGGGGAGAAAAACCCAATGCTCTAAGTCAAGAAATGATGAATCTTATGAATGAGCACTCTGGCGAGATACCTTACAAGCAAACACGATCAACTGGTATTCTCAAATCATAACAATGACTGCCATTTGTCAATGCAGTGCCACGCGAAAGCCACGCCACGCGTCGGTCACGGGGGTCGTTTGTCTATAACTTCGCCACGCTGATCAATGAAGGTTGTTAAAATGGGGGGGGGGGGGGGGGGGGGCTTACCCACAATTTCTTCAGACGTCACTTGACACTGACGTTCGCTGCAGCCAAGAATCGCGAACTCCATCATGAAGTTACTGGGGTTTGTGGCACGGCGCGTTACCCACTGTGCCAATGCTCCTCCCCCAGTATTCCCCGATGGTAACGATAGTTATTAATTCACTGACAAGCTGTGACCATCACCAGAACACGCAGCCATCAAGCCTCGGTTGTTAGGAGACTCGCGTGGTGAGCAGAGGTGTATAAATACACAAGTGCTAATCGTCGGCTCGACCATTGCAGAGTGGCTGGCAATCGGGTGAGATTGGGTGTGATCAGAAAATATGTTAAGACTTATTATAATTATTTTATTCAACAACCTACAATATGGGTGAACTTGTAGCTGAGTTTCACTCTGGTTAGTGCGCAATCTGCATTTGACCATGCAGCTGACTTCGCTAAATATAGATATTTTTTAACACAGTATGAATGCTTATGATATAATGTTGGGGATAAACAAAAATATGTTAATCAATCACGATGTGTACTTATAAGTACTATTGATGTATTGTGTTGCACGTTGTGTGTGTATCGTTGGCAATGCATTGACAAATTTTTAGTTGGGGGAGCGGTGGTGTATTTATTAGCGCACCGTGCTACGGACCCACCGACCCGAGTTCGATTCCTGCTCACGGCCAACAACAGTGACAATTATCTGTACCGTTCCTGGGCGCCTCCCCTAGGTCTACTCAGCCTCAAATGAGTACCTGGTGCGGTGTGTAAAAAAAAACATCACCACTGGGGAGACAAAGGCGGCCGGGCGTGTTGTTGGCCACCCAGCCCCTCGTCTATCGTGCCGGCCTTCATAGGTGCTCGCTAGCAGTACTTGCCCCAACAGTCTGTAAAGGCTATAGAGGGGATCTTTGTTATCGTTTGCGTGCCATGTGTGTATCGATTGAACGCTTTGAACAATGCTCAGTGGCGGATGAAATGTGTCTCTGTGCTCCAGGAAAACGTTCAACGGACGCCTCGATTTATCTTTCTTTCCTATAATCCCTTTGTGGGTTGTTGAAGGAGGAGGCAATGGAAAGCAACGACTCCTTCATCATGCTTGCAACGTTCGAAGCACCCTACAGCATACAGCTGTGCGCTTTTGGCCTCTTTCTGCCGCTCTTTGTCGTCACCATCGTGGCCAACGTGGCGGTCCTCGCGACAGTGGCCGCCCGCGCGGAGCTGCACAAGCCGATGTACACGTTCCTGTGCAGCCTCGTGGTCGCCGATCTCATCAGTAGCGTGAGCACCATGCCCAAACAGCTCCAAATGCTCCTGACGGGCGACAACCGGATTCTGCGCACCGCCTGCATGGCGCAGATGTTTTGGGTCAACGTGTTCGTCATCATGCAGGTTCTCACACTTGCTGCCATGGCATTCGACCGCTATGTGGCCATCTGCTTCCCGCTTCACTACCATACCATCGTTACCGGTAAACGGGCCGTTATTATAATTTTCAGCCTATGGAGCCTTACAATAGCCGCTTTCGTGCCGGTTACAATTCTTTTTGCCCCGTTGAAGCTCAAAGCCAGCGACAGGCAAATGCAGGGCATTCTTTGCGACAACATTGGCTTCGCTCGCGTGTCCGCGGGCGACACGCGAATCCACGAAGCTTACGGGTCGGGGATCATCGTGGTGCTCATCGCATTGCCTTTGAGCGTGATCAGCTTCACCTATTTTAGAATCCTTCTGGAGTGCAAAAGGACGCATTCGAACGATTTCAAGAAAAAGGCGCTGTACACCCTGTTCACTCACTTTCTCCTGCTCATGCTTTTCTTCATTCCACTTTTCCTGTCGGTTCTCGTGCCGCGGCTCGTGAAGGATTTCTACAGCGCTCAGGTGCGAAACATCCGCTGCAGTGCCCAGTACACCAGTTTCCTCATGCCCCTGTCAAATGTAACCATTTACTTCTTCAGAACCAAGGAGCTGAGGAAGGAGGTAGTGAATTGGTTTTATAAAATCATTCCACGAGCACTGAGCAATTCAAAGCTAAAAAAAGTTTCTGTTCGAGCGGAGTGATTATTTGCTTTTAAAGAAATCGAATATTACAAATTGTAATCGGCGATGGAAAGTTAATTGGAAGAATTTTAAACAAAAGTATAATATTGTATGGACAGAACATGTTTGTGAAAGTGTAAAACAACAGTAGCCTCTCATAAAAAAACAGATCAGCTACTAATGAATTGCTAAACAGACTAAACCCGCTTCATCATTCTTCTCTGCGATTTGTACTGGATGTACCATACAGGACCCACAATTGTGACCTCCACTTAAAATAAAATCTCTCATCACTTGATGTGAGAAGAAATCTACACTGGGTCCTGTTCATTAAATCCTTATTGGCAAATCTGCACTACACTTAGCGAAGTCATTTGTCCCATTGTCAAATCCGAGAACACCAAGGTGTCCATCTAATTGCATTTTAACGATCACAAGAACACGAATTGGAATCGGTAACAGCGCCTTTGCCGTTGCAGCACCAACGTGTTGGAACAACCTTGTTACCTCTCTTAACATCGTACATATTCCCTAAAAAATATTCTGAAACAAGATTAGTGCTGAATACAGCCACTTTTGACACTGTGAGTTGTAACTTTGACCCTTATCTGTGTATCGATTGTTCAATGTTATTAATATATAATTTAATTGAGAGACTGTGTGTTTTCTTTGTGTGGTTTGGTACTGTTTGTGCTGTTTTTTACTGCCTTTCTCAAGCTTGAAAATTGATATACTTACGTTAATTGAACTTGTATAATTATTATTTTATCATTTAAGGGGCGCTACGGTGGCGTGATGTTATCTTTCTTGCCTTGTATGCAGGAAGTCGGGGGTTTGATCCTGACCCTGATACCTGTATATTTGGAGCTTGCATGTTCTTCCCGTGGCCACATGGATTTTTTTTTCTCCCGGTCCTGCTATGTCCCACTTTGTTGAGCTATCTTACGTGTGCCAGGTCGCTTCTGATAAAAAAAAAAGCTAATATCTCAATGGGCCTTACCTTGTAAAATAAAAAAAAACTGTTTTGTTTTATTCGTACATTTATTAGTGATTTGCTTACCTTTGCACTCCTATCGTGTTGTTGTAGCATTTGTTGGTGTAACGTTCTGACCCGTCCCTCCTGAACATGTGTGAAAAAGAGCTTTAAAGCTCACCGGATGTATCCAGTACAAATAAATTACTATTCTGACTGAATAAAATCTGAAATGTGCAATACTCGTTGGTCTCCTTGTGAATTCTTCCTCTCTTGTCCACTCGTATGCATGGAGCTTTGACTGTCAGAAGGTAAAGGCGCAGCCCCGCAGTGGCTTGCTAATGCTAATTCTGGTGGAAGGGCCTCCACTACAGGGAGCTCAAGAGCCTTCGAGAGGGTATTTGAACTACTCTTCTATGCTGACGAGACGTCGTGTTAGAGATGGGAGTACCCACACAAAGTGAACCTGCCAATTCACTGTGTCTACCGGTTATTAATCTATAGATCTCTTGAGTGTATTTTTACTCATTAAAATTTTAAGTGTGTTATGTGCATGCTGGTTGCTGTTCATGAATGTTTTTCGTCACCGTATTGAAAACACAACAAGCTACATCCAATGAAAGCTTTATGGGGGTGTTATAAGTAATTTCCTTTGGTTTTTAGCCCTGTTGCATGTTGGAAATTGATTTTGAAGAATATTGGCCCAATACCACTGGTCGCTATTCCAAAGTGGCTGTTTCCACTGCTGTGGGACTGCATTCCGCTGTGCATATCTGCCACATTCATTTCGGGTCACCAACTCTGAAGTACAAAAATCCGGGACATGATGAGACCAATAATATTTTACAATACCAGAAGATGGGAAAACTTCTACATGGAAATGCAAGTCTTGAATGGCGTATTCATATTACAAAAACTGGGACTTAATTTAAGTAAAAAACATGTCCTAAACTTTTATTTCTATTTTTCCAGATAAGGCTCACTGAGCTTTTCAGAAGCGACCTGGCCACAAGTGACAGCTCAACTTAGTGGCTTATCCGTGCAAACACGCAAACTCCAAATATAAGAGACATCAGGATAGGGATCGAACCCACAACCTCCTGCATAACAGGCGAGGGAGATAACATCTCGTCACTTTGGCACATTTTTCCTGGGAGACTTACACATTTCCTAGGACAGGTGGTAACCATATTTCCAATATTCCGATCCAGCTGCTTAAGCAGTTCATTTTGTGAAAATCAGCCCTGGCACTGGTTTTCTGGAACTTTCCCATCCCTGGCAGATGCATACCATCATACGGATGGGTCGCACACAGTCCACACAAATGAATATCTATACACGACATGCATATAGTGCAACAAATACAAATATCCCCCGTATAGCCTTTACAGACTGTTGGGGAAAGTGCTGTTAGCGAGCACCTATCAAGGCCAGAACGGCACACGAGGAAGTGTGTAACCAGCACCACGCCCAGCAGCCTTTGTATCCCTAGTGGCGATATGTTTACGCACCGCACCAGGTACTCATTTGAAGCTAAGTCGACCTAGGGAAGGCCCAGGACCGGTTAAGATAATTGTCACTGATGTTCGCCGTGAGCGTGAATCAAACTCGGGTCCCCAGGTTCGTAGTGCAGCATGCTAACCACTACACTACCTCTCCCCCACATGCAAGCACACGTACAAAAACACGGCCAAGATAAATCCATTGCTCACCAGATATTTCCACGATAAGTAAATATTCTGATTCTGAAATGGATTATTTTGGCCCTTACCACTACTCCAAGTGGCCCCGTTCATTTGTAAACGTGCGCTTGGCCGCTATAAATTTCCACACGATAAGAAACTTTCGTTGAGCTATCATTCGTGGTCAGGTCGCTTCTGAGAACGAGCGATATAGCTCAGTCGGCCTTACCTGGCACAATAAAAAAAATAATGTAGCGTTTACTTTATACCCCACACCCTCCTCTCTGTCACCAGAGCCACTTTAAAGTCTATATTTAATCAACGCCAATGGACTGACTCAACGCCCCCATCTCCCCAGCCCCACCCACAGCACCCCCTCTCTCCAGGCTGCAAAGAGCACAATGCACATATACAGTGAGGGAAAAAAGTATTTGATCCCCTTCTTATTTTGTACGTTATCCCACTGACAAAGAAATGATCAGTCTATAATTTTAATGGTCGGTTTATTTGAACAGTGAGAGACAGAATAACAACAACAAAATCCAGAAAAACGCATGTCAAAAATGTTATAAATTGATTGGCATTTTAATGAGGGAAATAAGTATTTGACCCCTCTGCAAAACATGACTTAATACTTGGTGGCAAAACCCTTGTTGGCAATCACAGAGGTCAGACGTTTCTTGTAGTTGGCCACCAGGTTTGCACACATCCCAGGAGGGATTTTGTCCCACTCCTCTTTGCAGATCTTCTCCAAGTCATTAAGGTTTCGAGGCTGACGTTTGGCAACTCGAACCTTCAGCTCCCTCCACATATTTTCTATGGGATTAAGGTCTGGAGACTGGCTAGGCCACTCCAGGACCTTAATGTGCTTCTTCTTGAGCCACTCCTTTGTTGCCTTGGCCGTGTGTTTTGGGTCATTGTCATGCTGGAATACCCATCCACGACCCATTTTCAATGCCCTGGCTGAGGGAAGGTTCTCACCCAAGATTTGACGGTACATGGCCCCGTCCATCGTCCCTTTGATGCGGTGAAGTTGTCCTGTCACCTTAGCAGAAAAAACACCCCCAAAGCATAATGTTTCCACCTCCATGTTTGACGGTGGGGATGGTGTTCTTGGGGTCATAGGCAGCATTCCTCCTCCTCCAAACACGGCGAGTTGAGTTGATGCCAAAGAGCTCCATTTTGGTCTCATCTGGCCACAACACTTTTACCCAGTTGTCCTCTGAATCATTCAGATGTTCATTGGCAAACTTCAGACGGGCATGTATATGTGCTTTCTTGAGCAGGGGGGGCGCTGCAGGATTTCAGTCCTTCACGCGACTCCAAGTGGCATGCAATAGACGAAACAGTAAGACGTCTCCACAAATCTGGCTGTTGCCCGATGAAGCTAGTTGTAATTACTGGTGAAACGTCGTACTCAGATTGTAAATGTTGTGGCTTGGCTCTCCAACACACCGGTGTGCTGTACTAGTGACGAATTGGCCACGTTCTGTTTACGTGACAACCCTTACTAGTTGGCTGTGTCGGGTGGTGGCGGGTTTGAACGACACAACATTTATATATTTACGCGATCTCATCCAAAAACCCTCTTTTATGGATGATATTAGTCGCGGAAGTCTCCATATGCCCCATGCACTGTTGTCAACTAAGCTACAGATAACACTTTCCATGAGAAAACCTGCCGTACAGTGCTGGGTCGATTACAGTTGGGGGCGCGAACTTTGCTACAGACCAGCTTATGTGTATCTACCGTAATACAGTCCAACCCAATACTGGTGCCAGATCTCAGTACAAATCAAACCCTGCCACCCAAATACAATTCGCAATTCCCGGACTGTAGAGATCAAACGCGAACAGCTGGCAACCCGAACCGCAGTACACACAGAGCAACGTGTACCATTACATCCACCGACCACTTCTCCCTGGTGCAAACACAAGATTGACAAAATCACCAGATAGTTAGTTTCCCTTACACTTCCGAAATACAAAGCCGCGGTGTGCAGTGGTTAACGCATACTCTCCTCTGAACCATGACTGCCTGAGTATGATTCCCACCCACAGCTAATATAAGCGACGAGTGATTACTGAACTTATCCAGCCGCTCCCAGCGAGGCATGCACCTTCCGTAACTCGCACTCACCAACATGGTGAAGTATGGTCAAACAAACCCCATGACCGGGTAGGGGGGGGGGGCATCCATCCGGCTGTGGATTGACAAAGGGTGCTGTGGAACATGAATCGCATATCTTACTGACGCTACTGCATGGGTTTTCGCTGTTGTTCTGTATGGCTTCTCTGGCGTGTGTGTGTCTGAGTGTGTGTCTGTGTGTGTGTCTGTGTGTTTCTCTGTGTGTGTCTGTGTGTGTTTCTGTGTGTGTGTCTGTGTGTGTGTCTGTGTGTGTTTCTGTGTGTGTGTCTGAGTGTGTGTCGGTGTGTGTGTCTGTGTGTGTTTCTGTGTGTTTCTGTGTGTGTGTCTGAGTGTGTGTCTGTGTGTGTTTCTGTGTGTTTCTGTGTGTGTGTGTCTGTGTGTGTTTCTGTGTGTGTGTCTGTGTGTGTTTTTGTGTGTGTGTAGCGTAGCGGTAAGCGCGCTATGCTACGAACCTGGCGACCCGGGTTCGATTCCAACTCACGGCCAACACCGGTGACGATTATCTGAACCGGTCTTGGGCCTCTCCTAGGTTGACTCAGACTCAAATGAGTACCTGGCGCGGTGTGCAAACATCGCCACTGGGGAGACAAACGCGGCCGGGCGTGGTGTTGGTCACCCACCCCCTCGTGTGCCGTGCTGGCCTTTACAGGTGCTCGATAACATCACTTGCGCCTACAGTCTGTTAAGGCTACACGGGGGATCTTTGTGTTTCGGGTTGTGCCACTGATTACTAATGCAGACTTCAGCTTTGGGACGAGCTTAGCCGGCAGAGCGCTGCCCACTAACCCGGCCACCTCGAGAATAACCCCAATTAAATCGCATTTCACGAAGAAGCGCTTTGTTTTTGCTGTACACAGGGGGCGTTGTTAAAGGAATTACATTCCTTTACTTGGAAGGGTTCATTAACCGGCAAGCCATTAGATGCGGTGACCCACGTGATGCTCAGAGGTGTATAAATAAGCTGCCCGTTAACTCGCAGAGCATATTACCGCGGAAGAAAGCAGGCTCCAAGGTAAGAAGATCGTCATACTATCACGAGCGGGGCACATTTTACTTTAGCCGGTGTGAGTTTATTGAGATGTTACTGTCTACAGAATATGGAGCATAACACACATTCACATAAATTGCATTTCGCTGTATTATTTGAAACGTGTAAGCACGTATTTTAGCAGAGTATTCAAAATGTAACAATGCATTGTTTTGTTCTAAATAGCGAATAAAGAATACACTAACATATAGTGTGTAAAAAATAAACAGTTACCATGCACATGCATTGTTGTAAATTCTGCACTCAGTGAAGGATTATTCCAAGTAAACGGCTGATATGTTTGTGTTGAGAGTGGAACAGAATTGCCACACTCTCTGCGTCGTAGCTCATTGTTGCGTGGTTCACAGCTTTTGCGAAGGCTGCGGGTGTTTTAAACGTGTTGTTTTGGTGTCACATTTCGTCGAAATAGATTTTGTATTTAAATTGTATTTAATCTCTATTTGTCCAAGATGTGTTTTACTCATTTATTCCCACTGCTGCCTTTCAGCTGTATGATTAAATGTGAATAAAAATACGATTCACTGTAACTGCACAATGCTTTCATAAAATATCAGTATGTGACACAAGTCAATGATAAAGTATTATCATCATCATGTTTAAGGAAGCACTTAGGCTGCGCTCATCTGCTGACAGCTCTGAGCGGGGATGAGTATCCATAGGAGAACCACAAAGCGCTACTCATACGAAACAGGCATTGTATAATATAAGTAAAGCATAGCCTATTTTAATTTTAAACATGAAGTGTGCAAGGTGAAATAACACATTTGACGTGCAGTTTCCTTCAATTCAGAGGCATGGGAAACCCAGAGACAAGCTCCGTGGTCCTAAATTTGAACGTTTGGCCAACTCCAGCAATGACAATGATGTGATGGGTTGTGTTTTTTGTTGAAGCGCTGGAGGGATCGAGGCTGCAATGGAGAGCAACGACTCACAAGTGATATTGCTTGGAACGTTCGAAGCTGCGTACAGCTGGCGGGCGCTCGCATTCAGCGTCCTCCTGCTGATCTTCGTTATCACCATCCTATCCAGCCTGCTGGTGCTTGGCACAGTGACCGTCTCCAAGGAGTTGCACAGGCCCATGTACGCGTTCATGTGCAACCTGATACTGGTTGACATCATCGGCTGCACGGCCAGCTTGCCCCAACAGCTGGGCATTTTCCTAACGGGCGACAACCGAATATCGCGCGCGTCCTGCATCACGCAGATGTTTTGGATCAACGTCTTCGGCATTGTGGAGTCTCTCACTTTGACTGCAATGGCATTGGACCGTTACGTGGCCGTCTGCTACCCGTTGCACTATCACACCGTCGTGACCGCGAAACGAACGATGATCGTCGTAGCTACCGTTTGGGTCATCGCGATAGCGGAACTGTTACCGTTGACGATTCTTGTCATGCAATTGACGTTGAAAGACGCCAACAGGGATATGCCGGGCATTTTTTGCGATTACTTAGGATTCGCTCGCCTATCCATCAATGACACACGAGTTCAAGAAACGTACAGCTCGGTGATGATGGTGGTGCTCTTTGGGCTACCTCTGTGTTTAATTGCCTACACCTACGTGATGATCCTCTATGAGTTCAAACGTACACAGCTGAGCGATTCCAAGATGAAAGCCCTGCACACCTTTCTGACTCATGTCTTCTTGCTTGCCGCTTTTTTCATCGCAGTCTTCATAACTATACTCGTGCCGCGTATAGTCAAGGATTTTCAAACCGTTCAAGCAAGAAATATCCGTTGTCTTTCTCAAATCATAACGTTCTTCGTCCCAATAGCGAACATCAGCATCTACTTCGTCAGAACCAAGGAGTTGAGAAAGGAGGCAAATATGTGTTTTAAGAAAGTTGTTATGACAATTTCCAGAAGTTCAAGACATCACAAGGTGTGTGCTTCAGGGAGTAAACGTTCATATGCAAACCAAAAAAATGTACCAATGTGATGTAAAACTAAACTATAAGCTATTTTTATTTTACCAGGTAAGGCTCACTGAACTATGTAGCTCGTTGTCAGAAGCAGCCTAGCCACAAATTATTACTCAGCGAAGTGGCTTATCAACGTGTGGAAATTAATAGCAGCAAAATGCTCTAAACACTTCTTGATTCTAAATGTGGAGGGAAAAACTGGAGGACTCGGAGAAAAATCCACGGGACTACGGGGAAAACATGGAAACTAAACATATACAGGCGCCGGGTCTGGATCGAACCCACAATCTCCGGCATACCAGGAGCCCAATGTTGCTTGGAAGCTTTTAAATAAAAATAAAGTCCACTCAAACATACACTCACTGCTTTCTCGTGGGACATTGAGGACAAACAACAGTTTCGTACTGTGTGGAGTTTCTCGTTTGCGCTGTATAACTCTCCGCGGTATTCTCGGGTTCCTGAAGTGCTCTTTGCATATTGAGCAAAACGTCGGGACATCATGCCGAAAATACTCTGCGCATTCTGAAAACACATCCGAGAGCTAAGCAAACATACTCTATGATCAAAGAAGACTGTAGCCCACTCATCTCAAGAATACATATCTAAAATACGTGATGACATGTCAATTATTGGTCGCCTTGTGAAGGCCTACATTTAACCCCTGCAGTTTCTGTAGCCTTCTCTACCGCTTATCTTCAGTCATTTCCCCCAGTCCAAGCTTCTGAGAATAATATATTTGGTCTGCCATTATATTCAGTGCGCGCACCTCAAACTGGAATCACTTAGGCCTCTCAATAGCATTCAAAATTGGTTCCAACAATAGCTGAGTTTAAATAAATTACTATGAATAGGCTTGAGAAAGGCCCCTGTAAATGTATATGATTAGATGGTGTTTATTTTAATGGTTTATGGCTGCCTATAACCAATTTGTTTACATTAATATTTTGTGCAATTGCCTCCAGTCTCTTTCCTTTCCAAAAATCAAAGTTGTTTTTAATGCAAAGCGCAATTATCTTTTTTTCACTTAGCCTTATTCATTGTTTGTATTCAACTATTGTTACATTTCGTCTAAATTTGTTAGATTACAATTTTTTTAGAATGTTGTGCAGTTAAAATTACTGGATATTAAGCTGTTCAGGTTTGGGATGCAGATTCCAAAGAACACAGGATGAGATGTTACTATCCTTTGTGCAAGCACTTCCAAGAGTTCATGAACAGTGAGCCTGGTGAAATTTGGGGAGCGCATCGTCAGTAGTGACCCTTTGGTTCCTAGGGTGTTTCGGCCTTTCATACTATACACCCTCCCCAAAGGCGGCCAGCGACAGGGTGATCAATCCTACGCTTGCGTCCCATTCCCAATTAGTCATAGCAGTTGCCTTGTTGTTGGTAGCCAACATCCCATGGGACTATGCATGGCAGGGGCGTCCTCCTCCCTGAGTCAAGCATTGTTGACTGCATACCTCCTGGCCCTCTCACTTTGGGGCCCAGCTGGGGTCTTTCCTCTTCATCCAGAGCCACTGACTGCTGCCTTCTGCCGCCTCCGATACAGCTTTGATTGCCGAACGCTGGCTCTGGCCCTTAATTCCCAGGTCTCTAAGCAGTCTGGTTGTAGATGTTGCCACAAAACCTCTGCAGCCCACCTCCACTGGTCGGACTTCTGTGTTCCAGCCATGATGCCGTGCTAATTGACTCGTACTGAACATTTGAACAGTACACTACACTGTTTTGATAGGCCTAGGCTGACTGAGAAACAGGTCTGGGTTTTGGTGTGTGGCGGCCGTGATGTAAACACATGCCGCCCTTGTAAATGAGACAATGTTGTTGCGTGTGTCTCAATAGGTAATATTTAATCTTTTTGTTAAATAAAGGATATGAACTGACTGACTGAAAATGCAGGACTATTCCTAAATATGCGTATTTAAATTTCGATTTAAAGCTTTCGTGACTGCAGGGATTCATCTTCTTGGTTCTTTCGGTAAAGTCACGTAGAAGGGAAGTAATAAAATAATAAAAATAAAACATAATAAAAATAATAAAATAAAATAATATAAAATAATATTTTATTTTATTATGTTTTATTTTTATTATTTTATTACTTCCCTTCTACGTGACTTTACCGAAAGAACCAAGAAGATGAATATGCGTATTCCCTTGGGTATATTTCAATTAACTCATTGGGCAGAGTTTCCTTTGGAACCATGACTTACATACTCACACTTCAACATACCCACAATGCGATTTATGAACTTGGCATAGATCACAGAATTGGGAAATTATGACATTGGAAAACTAGCTACCAATTATTTTTTTCTTCTATTTATTGAGTAAAGCAGAGTGCTATCCTAGCTTGCCGAATGAATAGGATTGCCACTTTCCACAAATCAAACACGGACATATTACTCAGTCAGCCTATGTCTATAAAATAGTGTGTAGTATACTGTGATAAAGTTCAACAAAATATCAGTACCAGAATCTGGGGACAAATCAATCACAGCCAACGAAACAGGTGAAAATTCTCGACCGTCCGCATCAAACCTGGACAGGTGGCAACCCTACAAATAGGTGAGGTACACATTTGCTCTGCTTGCAATAACCAATCAGAGTCTGGTGGTGCGGTGAGCTGAACCGAGCACAACATTATTATGCAATCCCTGGCCACGGCCAGAATCTACCAGTTAGGTGCCGGTTCACCACTCTTCTCTCCAATCCTTCACACAGCAGCAATAGTAGAACTTTTATTTGCCACTTTGTAAAATACAAAAGTGAAGGCATAGCTCTGCTATTGCTTTATCACACCACTGTTGGGTTAAGGGCTTCCACTCAAGGGTATGTTTGCCTACTGTTCCACACTGGCCAGACATTGCCATGTTATTCTATTCTAGAGTTACGGAAATATGTTCAGAAGCCAAATGACAATGTTGAGGTTTGCTACCTACGAGAGGGTTTCAGCAGAGAGTTGGTGTAGTTTTGCTGTTCCTCCATTGAAGGAGTGCAGACCACAGTGATTTCCTGTGTGGTCCATAGTTAGGCTTGCATTGCCACAGCTGCACCATGGCTTGTGTCTTTAATGTTAAACTTACGAACACGTGCGCATTGACCCACTGATGTTCCAATGCGGTCGATCGTGCACCAGTGTCTTTGAGGGAAGTCGAAGCCACAAGGTGCGATGTTTGGGTCTCGAATTAGGTGTGTATTCTGGATGTCCAAATGGTTTCACTTTGTTCAACAGCATTCTTCCGGATTTGAGTGGGATTCTAGGATGTTGACAGAGCGATCACAGAACGGGTTTCAGGACTTGAGTCGGCATCAAGGAACATTTCTGGGATCTTGGTTGATGATGGATAGGTGGTTGCCTATTGGCAAAACATTGTGCAAACTCCCTTGCAGTTTGCATGTGTCTGCGGATATTTGGTGGAATAATAGTTACCTGAACAGGAAGCCAGGGTATTGGTGTCAGTTTCAGTGTTCCGGTTATCGATGCGCACTGCGTTATTTAATTGTGCATCTAACAGCTTGTGCATAAACTTCCAGATCAGATTCAAGGATGATACTCTGCTACTGAGTAGATCAGTGATAGTGTGGCAGAAAGCAGCACATCCACTGAGATGCCCTCAAGGCTATACCTGCAAGTTTCTGTTGCAGGGCGATTCTTCATTTGGTCTTTTTACATATCCAGATGTCTTGGAGTGGGGTCATAGCACACTGAGCTACCACAGGATACATCAGGGGTGATATCTTCTGCAAAATTGTTCAAGTGGAAAGCACTTGTGGTGGTTTTGAAATAATTTTGCCAGTCTCCAGCGACTGAAACATGTCTCCAATAACGTTAGATCGGCTGTTAAGTGTATGTACAACATTACCCGAGGTTTGTACCCTGTGCAGCAAGGAAAACATCATCTGTGTGTATGAACTTTTGAGATTATGTACATGGCAGATCACTTATATACTTGCTACATATTATTGGTGCTAGTACCGAGCCTTGAGGGAGGCGATTGCTCAGAATTCCCTTGTGGATGTTTATTAGTGAGGTGTAACCTGAAAGTATTGTTTGCTGAGCATTGCGTCGATTAGGTGTACAGTAGAATAGATTCTGATGATTTTGGACAACTTCGATAGCAGCCTATGTTGCGAAACAGTGCCATCAGCAGCAGCAGGGAGGTCAGTCGTTGCTGCGCCAGTCTTCTGTTGACGCTAGACACCAGATTCTATGAGGGTGGGGAAGACAACGATCTGTTCACAGCAGCTACGGCCGTTCGGGTGGAAGTTGGGGGTCGATAATGGTAGAAAGTCTGGAAAGCACAGCAGAATCCATCAGCTTGGAGGTGGGTGACTAGAGGAATATTGGCCCAGTATCTGGAGAGCAAGTTGACTTTCCAGGTTTCAGAATGGCAATGATTTCGGCTTGCTTACATCTTTTTTGGATGTTGCCTGTCCTGTGTATTGATGCTCAAGAGTTTAACACATAGGCTTTCGCGACCAGTATTATTCATAATAAAGGTTTTTGGGTTAGATCGCGTTATTTATAAATGTGTCACAACCCTCCACCACCCGACATGGCCAATCAATAAAAAATGTGTCACGTTGACAAAAGACAGATATTTCACTACTATTTCACTGATCTATTATTTTTTCTACCTACGTGACTTTACCCAAAGAACCAAAGAGTATACACTTATGTGGCTCAGCGTTGGTCGGCCTGGATCTGTCAGTCGCCTTTGGCACCATCGACCATGAGATACTCATCGGGAGGTTAATGACAAGGTTTGTCATTTCCGCCACAGCAGTGGGATGTATTGAGTCATACCTGCATGGTCAATCACAGTTCATTTAGCTGGCTGAAGATCAGTTGTTGCCTGTTTCGTGCCTGGTCAGCCTTCCACAGGGAACCATCCTGGGCCTTTGCTATTTCCAACCTACGCCTCTCCGATCGCCGATGTCATCTGTTCGCACGACATCAAGTTCCATTTGTATGCTGATAACCAGAGGTGGGACAAAGTCATTGTTATGCTAGTCCAAG